CCGCTCTGAACAACTGAGCTAATGGGCTCTTTTTGGAGTTATTTCCACACCCTTCCTGACTAGAAGAGCAACGCAACAAAAGGCTGACATATATATTAAAAATACAATACTCAAATATCAGTATTTTCTTGGTGTTTCCCATCCACACATCTCAAAGTACTTTGCCAAATGTGAGCACGCACTATTATTGAATGGTTACAAACTTCTCCATGACCGTTTCAGACTGGACATAAGGAAGAACTTCTTTACTGTCCAAGCCCCCAAGGTTTGGAATAGACTGCTCCTGGAGGGGGTTCAAGCACCTACTCTGAACGCCTTCAAGAGACATTTGGATGTTTATCTTGCTGGGATCCTATGATCACTGCTGACTTCCTGCCCCTGGGGCAGGGGGCTGGATGCAATGATCTTCTGAGGTCCCTTCCAGCCCTGGTGTCTATGAATCTATGAATCCCTATTTTAAGGACTAAACACTTATTTGCAGCCAGTGGAGAGATTTCCACTAATTTCAGTTGTCATTGCATTAGACTCTTACAGAAGAGGAAAAAAGAAAGAGATGCAAAAACTATGCATCTTTTCAGGAAATCAAGACACTGGAGAAGATACAAAATAATACAGAACAGCAAGAAATTGACATATGCTACTCTGACAATTTTCTACTTCTGCTAAAGTAATGTTTAAGGTTATTGACCAAACTAATGCATTAACACCTGCTATGCAAAGATAGAACTCTGGAACTACAGCATAATGGGAAAAATCCCCCTCACCACTGGCAAGCAGAAATTTCAAACCCTGTCTCAAAACAAACTCTACCTAATCAAAGGAGATGTAGTTTTTTCCTTTTTACACAATACTAAAACAATTACAACCTCAATTACTACTGTTAAAACTAAAGGAATAGGCTGTAAAAGTGACCTTACTCAACAGGCAAAGTATTGTTGCCAAGTGATTTAAAAATTGCTTAGCAAAAATACTTAATACTTATTGCTGACAAGCGTATTAAGCTTCCTACAACATGAATGGCTCATTCTTCCTCATCTTTTACTTTGGGGCTTTAAAACAACAGAACAACTGTTACTCCAGCTCTGTCTTTTCAGATTAACTGGTTAACCTAGTAATTACATTGTTTTCTCTTTTATTACTACTTAATCTTCTTACCAATACTGGTAAAACTTTGTTACTTTAAATAAGCCACTCACTGTTATGAAGAACTTTTTATTTGTTCATCTGTTTGTTACAAGCTTCAGTGCCCACAATTCATAATAGTGTTTATGTAAAGAGTACTCTGATGGGAGTGTTAGGCAGTATTAATTACAGGAGTACTACCTACTGCATCTATAAATAGGCACAAAACCAGTTAAAAGAAAGTTCAGATTGCAGAATCAAGTGATCATGTTAAGAAGCACCACTTTATGGATGAGCTCATTTCAGTCCTTGTGTGTATGCACTGATAGTATTTAACCCCTTGATCACATGATCTCCCCCCTCACCCCCATTCCATGGCAGAACAGCATGGGATTATTTCAATCTTAAATGAAAACCAGAAAAAAACCTATAATTTTAAAAGTTGTTAAAAGCTACTGTATAGGATACTGGTCTGTGCAGTGTTTTGCCACATTTCTAGGATCTACGTGGAGCTATTTAGCAAGAACATGTGTTTAGCTGTGAATATAAAAAGGAAGAGCATGTGAAAAACAAGACCATCTTAGAAGCAAATTATCTCCTTAATATTAGTTATTCACATTTTGGTTCCAAAAGAACATAAGGACCATTACAATGCAATTTAACTTGATAAAAATGTGGTATCACATATGAAAACTAGTCAAATTACCTCAACCAAGAGAATTACCGAAGAGGAAATTAACTTAAGGGAAGAAGGCAAAGAAAGTCAACAGAGGTGCACCAATACATCGGTCCAATATTGGACTGGCACCGACATAAAGAAAATCATCTCTATCAGAAATTGGCCTGATATGGTCGATAAATGGCCTGCACATGCGCAGCCGCAGTGCAGCACAACCTGGCAGCTTGGAGGGCTGCATGCAGCTGGTAAGTCTGTTGTGGTGGAAGGAGGGAGGAAGGGGGGTGGGGGTGCGGGGCAGATCATGGCCCTTGTGGTGAGGGAGTGGGGCTGGAGCTGCAGCTCATCCATGGGGCGTTGGGAAGGGGGAGGAGTGCAGCTCCTGCCGCTGTGTGCCATTCATCCAGGAGCCGCTCATCTGGCAGCTCATCTAGCACTTGCCTGTTTATTCAGCGATTCCCGTTGCTTGCCCAGGAGGGCATGAGAGTGGTGCGTGCCCCTGGATCTGCACGGGTAGGCAGGACTAAGGCTGCGCTCGGGGTGGACTGCAGCCACCCCAAAAGTTGTCGTAGGCTCCCTACAGACCCAGCTCCTAGTGCTGCTGCCTGCCCCAAGCACAGCCCGGTACAGCCCTAGCCCCACCCTCCCCACAGAGATCCGGGGGCACATGGACAAGCAGCGTGCAGCAGGGGGAGCTGGCCGCCCCCCCCTCCGCCCCAACTGCACAGCGCTTGCCCCAGTCCCATTCCCTCCCTCACCGCAGGGGCCTTGATCTGCCCTCCTTATGCCCTATCTCTTCCTCCCTCCCCTTCCACCACAACAGACTTACCAGCTCGACATCACTCCTTAAGCTGCAGGGCTGGTATCAGAAATCGTATCAGGATCAGCTGATATGCCTCCTTAAAAATTGGCTATCAGTATCAGTCCCAAAAATCTCTATTGATGCACCCCGTAGAAGTCAATTCTACTAGAGCTGCTATTGGCAAACTGTGAATAGTATGTTATTGAAAATATTCAAGTTACACACATTATTTTTTACCGTTACCTTTTGAGTTTTTATACTCACCTAAACCTTTTTGTCCAGGGTTTTTAGCAAAGCTAAAAGTAAACTGATAAAAATCTTTGAACTTTATTGGATCCTTTAGCTCTTGTTCCAGTCTTGGCAATAGAGCTTTTAGTTTTTCTGTGGTGTCACACCTGTTGCAGAAAAGATTGTTTGTCTATAAATATGCATAATTGTTAAACAAATGGTTTATTTTAAAGACAACAATATTACAAGATGCAACTGCAAAGTATCACTTTCATTTAAATTCTATAAGCTGTGAAGTATATCTTTCACAAAATGTTTAAACAGAAACAAGGGGTAATGGTATATACAAGCACCTAAAGTACATAGATCAAATAAACATTTATAAAATATTTTCTTTTTCAGGTTCTTCATTAATCCACAAACTTATGTAGATTTCACACACTTAAAGAGCATTGCCAGAGTGCAGAAAGAATTAAATATAACTAGTTATAAATACTATTAACTGTAACGTATGGTTTTGGTTGCTATTATAATAAAATTAATTTGATTTTTTTTCAATTTACCTGAGCATCCATTGCAGGAATTAGGACTACTACATATTAAACTTATGCCTAAAAGTTAATATTATATGACTTTTCAGTGACTGAATTGTACTGTCACAAATGTCAGGCACACTTCAAACTAAAACCTAGAAAAAGAGCTCCTCACTGTGCCTCAAAGATACTTATGCCTCAAATGATACAGTATCACACTGGGAAGATAAGGGCTTTTCAGGTTCACATGACTCAAACTAATACCAAAATGTATAGGATATTGGCAGTATTCTGAATTACACCTAGTAACTAATATGGAACAATATAGTAATTACTTGAAAATTATAATATCTATTGTGGCTAAATCTTCTTGGCTAGCAAACAGCTTACGTAAATATTTTTACTAGCTGACACTTCTAGAATAACTTTATTAGGGGGCACATTGCTGTAATCCATTCAAAAGGACAAAGGTTTAATAATAACAAATTTACTAATACTGATAAAGATGAATACATTTTTGGCTTCCAAAACCACCTGATTAGGAGCTATCATTATATCAACGTGCCACCTTTATATTGACAGCCTCTTGTCTGAGGAACAGGTCAACTCCCTAAATAATGTGGATACCTACTGTGCCTTTTAGATGTTCTCCACTTGACAGCATTAGACCTCAAACCAAATTAATCTAAAATCCCAATTAATGCCCAGTACAAGCATGACACTACCTGGGTTTTAAAAGGAAAAGTTTCGAACTAGCAAACCAGTGGCATTAAGTCCAAACCACCTGACTATCCACCAAGGAGCCTTGTAGGTGCTTCAAGCGCAGGGAGTAACAACAGAATTGTTCAAAACACTGACTGAATTCCCTCAGGAAAGACAGCAATACTATGATGAAATGTTAAAAATATCCTAAAGCCAAATGTCCAGAGGTGGCTCAATAAATCTTATAATAAAGGGTATCAAATGTTGCTGGCAGACTTTAATTAATAAATAAATAAATAAAAAATCAACATGAACGCTAGGTGGTTGCTAGATAATGAAGCAATTATTACTGTCATTACAGCCAGAAGCCAGACTAAAGGGGATAAAGTAATCAGTGGACTTCAGATGACACTAAAAGTTGTTTTATTATAATCTGTCAACATCCTTACCTAAAAAGGAAAGGTTAGAAAGAGGTCAGTACTTGGCGAGATCAGTAGCAACACACAGTTAGGCCCCTACTCAAGAAACAAAATCACTTGGATTAGATAGAAGTTGCCACCTATTACTAATGTCTTTCTGCAGTATACTAATCTATAGCCAAATTAAATTTTATTAGCAACAGGAAATATAGGTTCAAGTAACAGGTCAAAATTTTCCACCTACCTCTACAGTCTCTTTTAGCAAAATAATTTGTTCCTTCTGATGTGGATCAAACAAGGACAGCTACTTGATCCATCTTTTTCAAGAAATAAGTATAAATAAAACATCATTTTCAGTAAGAAATGTTTGATTCTTTTGCTAAACAGGGACAGTATGGCTTAACCTACAAGTTGATCAGCCTGAGTTCCAATAGCCATGATTTCACAGACACTACAGATGAAGAAAGTTTTCTTTGGGTCTATTGCCATGAGAAGAATTTTAAGATTATACTACAGTTAAATTGGACATCATTTCCACCACCAGGGCTCTAACTTCAACTCCAGATATCTCCCTGTTTTTCAAAGGTTCTCTGAACAATAAAGTGATCAGCAGAGAGAAGGATTATTTATGGTACTATTAGTGAATAAAATTAGACTTAATGACAGTTAAGGCCAGAATCTGACTCACCCAATATGTGCAAAAACTTAAATAAGATTAGATTATGAAGGAATATCTTATCCACTTTCTTTTTGCTGCCTATATTCCAAACACTCCATAAAAGCTTTTGTTTCCATTCTTAACAGATAATGGTCCCAATGTCAAACAACATGCACTCTACTGAAATACCTTAATAGAATTCTGAATTTTGTATCATGTATACCAATAGCTCTTCTGTCACATCTCCATATTTGAAAAGTTATTTGCTAAGGTCACAGAAAAGGTTTTGTATTAGCATAACAGTTTGATGAAGCAGGAATTGTTTCATCAACTGCATCTGTGAACCCGCTACAATGACAGCCACTATTCACAGAGTGAACAAACTATTTACAAAGCTAAAAATATGATTCATTACAATTTGTACTTAACAGCCAGGCTCTCACACTGAGTGTTATCACAGACTTCCAACCTTTGCAAACCAGGAAGAGACATACACAAGCACATACAACATACCATAAGTAAATTGTGGGACAAAATTACTGCTATATGCATTTTGGTGACTCACTATAATTTACAGAATAGTTTTTAAGAAGCCTTTTCTGAGTGAATTATGTGCATCCTGACTTAATACCTGGCCTGAGTGTGGTTTCTAGTAGTAAAAGCTAAGCAAGCCAGAACTACCATACTTCTCCAAATCCAAGATGATTCAGAATGTAAGATGACCCCCCCCCCAATAATTAGATTCTATATGCTGAAAAATTTATAAATTTGAAGATAGTTTTAATTTTGTCCACCTTATCACTGCAGTGGAGCAAGCAGTTAACAGGGGGGCAGGCAGCAGGTGAGTCAAGAAGCCTGCCCCTTCCCCCTTAACAGTGCCTGCACCTTCTGGTACCTGCCCACAAAGTGACTCTGGCTCCAAACCAGCCCCACAGCGCTGGTCACGGCAGCGGCAGTTCTAGCCTTGGCACCATCATAGTTGGGAGCTGTTACCACTGCTGCTGTGTAGCCAGGCAGGGACCAGAGTAGCCACGTGACCCAGGCTGGACCAGAGCAAGTGCATGGGGGGGCAGCACAAAGAAGGGTGGAGCAGGGCAGAAAGGCTCCAAATCCAGGATGGGACCTAATGCAGCAGTTGCCTGCCTCCCTGCTTGTACTCAAATGAAAGATGAGGAGCTCTCCCAGGCCATCATGTTAAATGGGAGAAAAAAAAAAAAAAAATCTTGTCTTGGATTTCAATAAATATGGTAGTTTAGTCACTTTGGGGGAACAGATAAGACTGTGGTTGTCACACTGGAGACTGAAGCTCTCTGTGTAAAGTGACTTGACAAAAATAGTCAATGACACTGAAATGTATGGAATTTATCCAATCTCTAAAACTAGATGGGCTTTAGGGTCAGCCTAGGTTTTCTGCTCACTGTTTTCAGCCCTAGAAATAACCACCAAAAGTTCAAGTTGCAGCTAATTTGCTATCAAACAAAAATTCAGCAAGTTCACTTACTCATTTATTTTCTCTTATGAATAAAAAAAAGGGACACTCTTTGGACAAATGTAATTTACATATTTATATTCTAGGAGCCAATATGAGAAGGAAAAGCTGCAAAGGTCTACAAGTGTTTTAGATATCTTACAAAAAGGGGTATAAGAGAGAGAAACAGGCCAAGGTGAGAGAGAGGAAGAAAAAAAAAAAAAGTAAGCATCATCTAAACAGGTGATTTACACTGAATAAAAGTCTTGATTTTTTTTTTTTTTAAATGAAAGATGACAAGCAGAATCATGATGCAATTCC